TAAAAGGACGAAGATAGCGCCAAAAGGAGCACGTTGGGAAGCCTCAACCGCCATGCGGAAGTTATTTTATAGCACTATAAATAGATGTAAATTTTATGTAATAAGTGTGTTCATTCATTACCGTACTAGTTCATACAACTCTGAGTACCCGCGTATAGAGAAACGAGTTAACGAGAATGTACGTGATACAACACCAAACATTTTATTATCAATGCGATTTGCCTTTACAATTCACTTGCCACTTTTAACTTTCAATTTTTACCTTTCAAACTGCCCTTTACAATTTTCTGCCCATTTGCTTTGCAAAGATCCCCTAGTCGAACGCGGAGTCCTAATTAGAGTTATTTTTCAAGCCATTTACTTACTTGCATCTCTATTTTAAAGTTATTTGAATTTCAAAGGATTTACGTAGAACGTGGAGTTTGGCAGTAGTCTTTTCGCCTCTACATTTCAACTGTTATTTTAAAGCCTTTTACTTTCAGCGTTACGTTTTACAACATTTATACTTTTTGCACTCTTCATTCTTGATTTCACTCAATCGAAACAGAAGTTCATACACTCTTAGCACATGTTCTAAGATTTAGTATGGTCGATCCTGCAAGTTAGTAAATTTATCATAAATTGATAGACCATCGGTTGTTTACCAAAAATCACAGTAAACACTATGGTGCATAAAGTGGTTTTATAAATAGAAATCTTGTGTATAACGTTTTATACTTGACGAAATTAAGTTTGTTAAACATCTCTCTCTCTCTCTCTCTCTCTCTCTCTCTCTCTCTCTCTCTCTCTCTCTCTCTCTCACACACACACACACACACACACACACACACACACAGAAAGTTTTCATTTGTAACAACTAATAATAAGATTGAATGCACTTTGTTCGTGTGAACTGAGTAGAGGCGTTGATCATCGTTCATCGCTTGTGATCATTCATTTGATTCTACATTAATGACCATGAAATGTATCACACTTCCGACTGGATACACATACATTTTAGACCGTTTTATGTCCAAGTAGGAGTTGGTACATGAGAAAACAGAGCAAAAACAACCGAGAACAAAAAAGAAGTGGAGAAAATGCACCGGTGGCAACCTCGATGGCGTGCGCCATGACATTGCACCTATGGGGCGCCACCCATCTTAAAGAAAAAGTAAAGAAACAAAGTCTCAAGCTCATGGCATTCGCCATGACCCCTCTATCAGCCACGTCCACCATTCGACGCTCATGGCGTTCACCATGAGGTTATGTCGTCCACCATGGGTTTCGTAAGCAGAAAAATAGCAACTGACTTGCTCAGTCTCCTACCACTTCAGTATGATTTTTTACACGACTCAAACACGAATTCAACCTAATTTTAGCAGTTGAAACACTATATATAGTCTTAGTTTTTAGATTTTTAATATCTAAATTTTTTAATATCAAGTAGGCAAAAAAACCACTTATTTATAAGTGTTGAATTGCTGACATTGAGTAATACACACACCATAGTTTTAAGATTCTGCAAGTTTTATGTGTGTACTTGGATCATTAATCATTTAAGCTTTCCGTCATATTAATTTCAGAGATTTATTTTCAAGTTTTTCAATTTCCTATTCCCGCACTGTGTTATTTTCAGTACATATTTTTCTTCTTTTATTTTTTTAAACTTTAAAGTTTTAAGTCTTAATATTTTAATTATCATTTTTTATTATCCAATAAGTTTTAATTTCCACTCTTTTGATTGCAAGTTCTACATATTATCATTATCTGCAAGTTCTATATATATATATATATATATATATATATATATATATATATATATATATATATATATATATATATATATATATATATATATATATATATATATATATATATATATATATATATATATATATATATATATATATATATATATATATATATATATATATATATATATTTGAATGCTAGTTGTTATTTCTATTTGTTATCATCATTATTATTATGATTGAGTTTTTATTCGGCATGCATATTAAATATAACATGAATACTATATCAAATTGTTTGGTTAAATCGTTTTAGGGTTTGGAATGTGAGGACTGTCGTTTTAATGGTACTTGCATATAGGTTGGAAATTATCGGTTAATTTGAGACTCGCTTTTGAAGCTTATTTTTATGATGTTTTAAATTGAAATTAATTATAACAAAAGCTTAAAATTTAGAGGTATGATTGGTTTTGTTTCGAAAGGAAGGAACCAGTATCTGAACTAAGAAATAAAAATCAGATTATAAATTAAATCAATTGCGACAACAAGGTTTATTTTAATTTGAAAAAACAATCATTTTCAAAAATAGAGTTTAGAGGAATAAGTGTGCCTCAACAACAGACATTTGTAAGTTTAGATTATGGTGCTACGTGAGTGACAGCCGGTATCACCTTTAAATTTGTTTTTCACCCAAAACAACTTTTTAGTTAATTCGAAGTACTTGATTTTCAAAAACATGAGTTTTATACCACGCTAAATTGCGACAATGGAGTATAGATTTTTGAATAAAACTCGATTTCGATTTAGCGAACGCAAACAATTTATTTAAATTAAGTTTCTTCCTATTAAAGAGAAATATTGTCATAATTTAACTAATTAATCTGACTTAACTATGAGTATTGTTGATCGATGTGAGTCATATTCCGATCTCACTTTTATTAATTGTTTTAAAAACCAACTTGCTTTAGTTCCTATTTTAATTTTCCCCTCTCATAAAATATACAATTAGCCTTAGATTTACATTGCAATACTAGATAATAAAATGATTGACTATTGGTCTTTATGGGTTCGACAACCTTTTGTATTATTCTTATATAATCCGTGCACTTGCGGATATGTAAATCACACGTTACGCACATACCACATCGAGTTTTGGGCGTCGTTACTTGGGACCAATTTAGTCAATATCGTAACTCCATTGTTGTGTCGTATAGACTAAGGAAACTTTTTCGTTTTTGGTTATTCGGTTGTATGCCAAACACTCGCTCAACTAGAGGCGAGTTAGAACAATTGAACCCTGAAATCAGGCGTTTCATTCACCTAAAATGCCAAATACGTGAACTTAGAGCCATATTTGAACATATGGTTGCACCAAATACAAAACCTCTTAAAGATCACACTGTTCCATCTACCAGGACGAGTCACACTCAAGCATTGTTCCACCTGCAATATTGGCGAACAATTTCGAATTGAAACCTTCTCTTCGGCAAATGGTGCAACAGAACCAATTCTCTAGAAATTCCATCGAGGACCCAAATCATCATTTGTCAGTGTTTGTACAATATGCAGATATGTTAAAGAGTAATGACGTCGATCTAAAAGCCATTTGACTACGTCTATTTCCATTTTTCCTAAGAGGTAGAGTCAGAGCATGACTACAGTTTCTACCTGTAAATTCAATTCTACTTAGAATGGACTTAAGAAGGTATTTCTAGTAAGATATTTCCCCCCAAACAAGATGACAATGTTTAGAAATCATATAACTACGTTTAGTGAGTCATAAATAAATTTAAGGGGAAATGTTGAAATATTAAACTTGATTTAAGGCTAAACATATTATTTGGTTTTTTGGATAATTTTGAGTAATGTTTTTAGAAAACTCTTGTAGTGTTTGAAATGTCTAAATATTTCTTAAGGATGTAATATTTTCTAGAATGCTCTTAAAAATTTTAAAGTTGTGAACTCTTTAGAATTAGTGTGTCTAGAGTTCACCTTAAAGTATTATAAATAGAGATGTAATCTTACACTTTTGTATTAGATAAAAATACAAAATTCTCTCTTCTATAAATAATTATCCTACATATCAAGTTTATCTTTAAGCATCTAATATTTCCACACACTTTTCTTAAACACAATACTTTATTTCTAACCTATAAACAATACAACAAAGAAAAGAGGCCATCTTAATGGTCATTCCAAGAGAAATGAAAATCAAATTACTTCTTTGTAATCCATTTTGTTGAGACTTTTTCTGACCTTGTACAGGTGCTGTCTAAAGGTGTCTCCTAAGAATCACAATGAAGATTGGTTACGGGTAAATCATCAAGTTGAAGCAATTTAAAGAGCAAAGCATATAGTATACAACAAGATAAATTAAAAAAGAAAAACTGCATTTGAGCATTTGTTTTTATCTTATTACAGACAAAAAAAGGGAAATGGCATTGGCATGACAATGCTCAGCAAAAGGAAATGTTGATTTTTAGGAGATGTTGATATTTTTGGGATCTATTATTAAATTAATGTTAAAGTTGGCAATTCAATGTTCACGTATTTTTTCTTATTAAGATTAAATTACCCCTCAAATTAAAGACTTCAAAAATAGGAAGAAAAAAAACTTCTATATTTTTAAATTAAAGTCTTTTCTTTGTCATTGTTTTTGAAGTTTTTTATATAAAAATATTGGAAATTGTGTTTTAAATTTAATACAAGTTATGTTTTAAATTTAATACAAGTCAAACATTAATGATTTTATTGCTTTTTTCAATACTTATTTTCTATTTGTGGATTTCTTAACATGTGCCCCAAGGGCACAAGTTAACATTACCCTTTTTCTTATTAAGATTAAATTACCCCTCAAATTAAAGACTTCAAAAATAGGAAGAAAAAAAACTTCTATATTTTTAAATTAAAGTCTTTTCTTTGTCATTGTTTTTGAAGTTTTTTATATAAAAAAGAGTAACATAAAAAATTAAATTTTAGAAAATTAAAATTAAAATATTTTTAGTTATTTTTTTATAATTATTAATAATTTATTTATATTAATTTTTTTAGTAAAATATAATTTTAATTCATATAAAATATTCATATTTAATTTTTTACATAAGGTAAAGATTAAACATTACCAAAATTAAAAATAAATTTAATTTTAAAGTTAAATATTAAGTTGATATTATGATTAAATAAGAAAAAATAATTTTTTATTTATAGATAACAAAATAACTAGGAAAAATGTCTCACCTTCAATTGAAAAAAAACTCAGGATTTATTTCATCATCTGAATGAATGTGGCTGAGGTTGTGCCTCATCTTCAATTTCCAAAAACTTGCGCTTCAGAGCTAACATTGTTGTTGAGTTGAACTCCAAGTCATCGTCGCTAATAATTTCAACACGAATATGATCAAACACAGCACGAGAAAATGACTCCAACGGGAAATAGATTAGCCATATGTGATTTGATTTGACACTAATAATATCTTCATTATCAACTACCAAAAGATGTGAAGCAGGACGTAACGATGTTGGATACACTGTCATACATATCCCACGTTTCCATTGAGAATCTCTTGTCACTTTTGGAGGATAAGGTGCTATCGAAAATACTATGCAACATAAAAAGCCAACGACATTATTGCGCTTGTCCTGCATTACGGGAGATACTGGTAATGAACTACCAACACTCTGATTGTTGAACCAACTTGGTATTTCACTTCCTGAAATCATAATACCAATTTTAAAGAAAGCAGGGTAATCATTGTTCACTTGAATGAATTGTGTCATCCATGAAAATGTCATTCTACTGCATAGTTCCTTATCACTTATTTTAGGACAGTTGAAAATGAACAATCCTGTTCTCTTCCAATATTTGTTCTGACCTCAGCCTCAAGGGTATACAAACCTTGTTTTTTCACGCCTCTCAAGACTTCCTTCGACCCCTTCATGACTCTTAGGATACTTTTCTCTCCGTGAAAAGCGTATCAATTCTGTCGAATTCACCAAGAGAAATCAAATTTCTCTTCAAGACAGGTACGTACCTGACTTCAGTCAATAACCTTATTGACTCATCATGGAGCTTGAATCTCACAGATCCAATACTTGCAATTTTGCAAGATTTGTTGTTTCCCAGCAGCACAGATCCACCATCTTGATCACATAGCTCCTCAAACAGTTCTATGTTTGGAGTCATGTGTCAAGTGCAACTTGAATCCATAATCCACTCTTTTCTCGAGTCGCCACTTGAAACCACAAGAACATCAGATGAGTCGAAGTCATCTTGAACAATGGCTGCATTGTCATTACCTTCATGATCTTTCAGGCATTCAGGGCACACCTTTCTTATGTGACTCTCCTTCTTACAGTGATAACATCGAATGCTAGATGTTTCGCCACTATAAGACTTCTGTTGACTTTTACCTTTCTTCTTGTCGAACTTACCATCCTTTCGCAATAATTTCGCCCACCGTCGAAGGTTTATGGTCCTTTCGTTTGTTCAAGTCCTTTTAATACAAGGCTGATTGAACTTCTTCAAAGGTCAGGGTCTCCCTTCCATACAAGAGAGTTTCTTTGAAGTGAGCATGTGATATGGGCAAAGCACACAACAGCAATAGTGCTTGATCTTCATCGTCGATCTTCACATCAATATTTTCAAGATCAAGACTTAGCTTGTTGAACATATCCAACTGCTCAGCCAACACTTTGTCTTCACTCATCTTGAATGAATATAAAGCTTGCTTCAAGTAGAGTCGATTCACCAGAGATTTGGTCATGTACAAACTTTCAAGTTTCACCCATAATCCCGATGATGTAGTCTCCTATGATACCTGTCGAAGAACCTTATCACCAAGGCTCAACAAAATTGCGCTGTGGGCTTTCTCGATCATGTCCGTCTTTTCTTTTGCCGTTAACGCAGCATCCATGGCTGCCTCACCCTTCAACGCTTCCAAACAACCCTGCTGAACCAATAGGGCTTTCATCTTCAAGCGCCACAGACCGAAGTCGTTCACTCCAGTGAACTTTTCAATCTCATACTTTGTTGAAGACATCTTTTCCACACTCACTGCACTAATTTGTTGTGAATCGGATACCTTTAAACAAAGTATAAACGGTTTCTTATCAAGAAACACATTGTTAGAACACATATTGGTTCTTAATAATATCTCTATGTTTTGATGATAACTATTATGAAATTTTGTAATTAAGAATTATATACTCTAAAATTTGCTTGAGAGTTTTTACTGCAGATAGTAAAGGAATTAACACTCCAGAAGCAAATCAGAATTGAACATAAGAAATTTGCTAGACTCTGAAGCGCCAGATGCATCCATTAGAAGATTTTGATTGCTGCCAACAGAAAATCCTGAGCGTAGCCTCCAGAAGATTCTGAAGCAAAAGCTCCAGAAGAATCTGAAGCAAGTCAGAAGCATCTGAACCAAAGAAGAATTTTGTATGAAGAGTTTTCAAAGCATAGTTACTACAGAAGATTCTGAAAGTACTAAAGCTGCCAGTACTGAGGATCTGACTCAAATATGCTCTGATCTTAAACACGCTAAAAGCACACCTGCTGCAGAAGACTCTGATTCAGCAAAACTCTGATCAACATCAGAAGGCTCTGATCAAATTAGACTCTGATGAAATTTGCTGAAAAGTGAAGAAGATTTATTCAAAGATTATATCCGTTGGAATGATCCAAACGACTCTTTCCTTATTTATGTTAGACACAAGAACACAGACAAAAAAGATTTTTCTGTGCTTTCTTCTTCTAGGAAAGGTCACTTGATGTGAAGACAAAAAGGCTCAGACCTTTTGGACACTCTTCTCAACGTGAAGCTCTTCTTGGATCAGCTGCCTATAAAAGCAAGTCTTCATCCATCTTCTTTAGTTGACGTTTTATCCAAAAGAAATCAACATTCAAAGCTCTCATACTATTCATATTCTTTCAAGAATTAATTTCTTTGTTCTTAATATTTGAGTAAAAAATCACAGTTGTGATAAAGCTTTCTAGAAGCAATTTAAACACTTGTATTTATATTACATTTGATTGTAAACCTTAAGAAGATCCAGTTAGGATCAATAGTTCTTGAGAAGACTTTGAACAGTTGTTCTTAGTGCTTACTATTGTAATTAGTTGATTAAATAGTGGATTAAGTCCTTGATTGAGAAAGGCAAATCACTCTAGGAAGGGTGGACTGGAGTAGTTGAGTTCAACGAACCAGGATAAAAATACTTGAGTTTTTATTTCTAAGTTTTCTCTTCATACTTATTCAACCCCCCTTCTAAGTATTTTCTCACCTTCAGTAGGCATCAGAGCTCTGGTTCTATGTGTGCTACCACTTAACAGTGACAGTAAAGATCCAGTGAGAAATACTTTGATATATATTTGGTTGTTACTATGGCTGATAATACAATGTCTAACATTAACAACAAATATGAAGAAATGGACAGAATCAGCACCAAATATGATGCTGATTTATGGGATCTGGTCATAGATGGATATGTTCATCCCACTAATGGGAATGGCAAGAAAATAGACAGAAAATCTATGACAGATGCTCAGAAGAAAGAATTTAGAAATCACCACAAGGCCAGAACAATATTGTTGAATGCAATATCTCATACTGAGTATGAAAAAATTACAAACAGGGAAACTGCATTTGACATGTTTGAATCCTTAAAGATGACTCATGAGGGAAACTCTCAAGTCAAGGAAACAAAGGCTCTGGCTCTGATCCAGAAGTATGAAGCCTTCAAGATGGAAGACTCTGAATCTGTTGAAGCTATGTTCTCCAGATTTCAAATACTTACAACTGGACTAAAGGTTCTGGATAAAGGATACTCTACTGCTGATCATGTGAAAAAGATCATCAGAAGCTTACCTACCAGATGGAGACCTATGATGACAGCGCTGAAAATGGCTAAAGATCTGAACAAGATCTCCTTGGAGGAACTGATCAGTTCACTAAGAAGTCATGAAATTGAACTTGAGGAAGATGAACCTCAAAAGAAAGGTAAATCTGTTGCTTTAAAATATAATAAATCTGTTAAAGCATTGCAGGTAATAGAGGAAAGCTCTGAAGAATCCCCATCTGAAGATGAAGATGAACTATCCATGTTGTCCAGAAGAATAAACAAACTCTGGAAGGATAAAGGAAAGAAGTTCAGAAACTTCAGGAAGCCTGACCAAAGAAAAGAATCTTTTGGACACAGAAGATCTGGCAAAAAGGAGGTTGTCTGTTATGAATGTAAAGAACCTGGACATTACAAAAATGAATGTCCAAAGGTGCTGAAAGAAAAGCCTAAAAGAAAATTTGATAAGAAGAAAAAGGTTCTGATGGCCACTTGGGATGATTCAGATACATCTGAATCTGAATCTGAGTCAGAAGAAGAATGTGCCAATGTAGCTTTGATGGCAGACATAGAAGATCAGGAGGAAGGAACTTCAGGATCTGAATCTGACTCTGAATCTGACTTTGACGCTGAAGAGGTAATGGCTAAACTCACTAAAGAAGAACTTATCAAAGTGTTATCAGAAGTTCTGAAGAGCTATAACAATATTAAGCTCAAATACAAGAAGCGTCAAAGCAATCTTGTATCTGAGAATAATATTCTCAAATCAGAAGTAGCTGAGCTAAATGAAAAGAACTTAAAATTGAAAAATGATTCTGAATTAGCTCAACAAAACTCTGATTCTGAAACTGAATCTGAATGCAAAAATATTTTGGAAAAATATGATTATAGCTTTCAGAAATTTCTTGCTAAAAGCATAGACAGAAGCAAAATGGCTTCTATGATCTATGGAGTTAGCAGAAATAACAGAAAAGGAATTGGGTATGAATCCTCCTCTGGAAAGGATTTAAATCCAAAACCTGTTGATAAAATTATCATCAAGAAAACTCCTTTATATTCACACTTTAAATTTGGTCACTTGAATGATATTGAACAAACACGTTCTGAAAAGAATATTTATGTGTTTAAATCTAAGGCTAGTCAGAATAAACCTTATGTTGAAAAACAGAAGTTTAGACAAACCTTCAGAACAACTAACCCTAAAGGATCCAAGAAGATCTGGGTACCTAAAAGTAAAATAATTCCTGTTGCAGATGTTCTTAGCAGCAAGGTCAGGACGCCAATCATGGTACCTGGACTCTGGATGCTCACGACACATGATAGGAGAAAGGTCTATGTTCCAAAGCCTGGAGCTTAGATCTGGAGGTGATGTGAAATTTGGAGGGAACCAGAAGGGCAAGATCATTGGATCTGGCACCATTGGAAATGGTAAACTTCCCTCTATTACTAATGTTTTACCTGTTGAAGGATTAAAGCATAACTTATTGTCCATAAGTCAATTAAGTGACAATGGTTATGATATTACCTTTAATCAAAAATGTTGTAAAGCTATTAGTCAAAAGGATGGCTCTATCCTATTTAGTGGTAAGAGGAAAAACAACATTTATAAAATAAATCTTTCAGAACTTAAGCTTCAGAATGTTAAATGCCTCTTGTCTGTTAATGAAGAGCAATGGGTCTGGCACAGAAGATTGGGGCATATTAATATGAGACGTATATCTCAGATTAATAAACTTAATCTTGTCAGAGGACTTCCTAATCTGAAGTTCAACTCAGATGCTCTTTGTGAAGCATGCCAAAAAGGGAAGTTTTCAAAATCATCTTTTAAATCAAAAAATGTTGTTTCTACTTCCATACCACTATAATTACTTCATATTGATCTGTTTGGACCAGTGAAAACTGCATCCATCAGAGGCAAGAAGTATGGATTAGTCATTGTGGATGACTATAGT